GCGTGGAAGGCCAACCGGCGCGTGGGGGACGCGGGGGACGGGCTCGGAGCCCGGTGTGGGCCGGCGGTGGGCGTGGCGGCGGCGGGCGCGGCGCGCGAGTCGTGGCCGTGGCGGTGTTCTCGACTGACGGCCGCGCCTATACTTAAACCAAGTCTAGGCGCGAGGGTATCGTCAGCGGCCACTGTGGGCGCGTAGTGGGGGTCGCCAACCCCTATACTGAGGCCCAGTATAGGGTCCCCGACACTGTTTGTGTGTGCGGGGTCCGTGACCCGCACTAGTGACCCTAGTGACGGGGACGGATGTCGGCTGACCCCTTCCCGATCCCCGAAACGACGCAACGTTGAAGCGGAGGACCGGGATTGATCTTGGCCGCTGTGGGCCTCGGCGCGCGATGGCGCTTGGCGTGCAATAGGCGTGGCGTGTTGCGAGCACGTGCCTGAAATTGCAGCGTCGGCGGGTGCGTCGTTGCGAAGTTGTTGCAACGCGCGTGGCGCCACTCGGGCGCCCTCCGCCGACGAAAACGGGGGCAAAAGGGGTGTGAAAATCACACTTCGCCTTTCTGACCAATCAGTGCCGAGCACTTGGTCAGACCCGGATTCGACAGTCGAGGGGTCGTGGACAGCCGTTTCGGCGCCCATCCCTGAGGAAACTGCTGTTTCCGGGTCGCCCGCCAGCCCCGTCTCAGCGTCAGACGACGCGTCATAGAAGGACGCGTCGCTGGCGAGACTAGAATGGCTGGCCGTGGAGCACTCGCTATCGTCGGATAGAGAGCGCTCCCGGGGCTCCCAATCCGGCCACCAGAAGCGCATGCAGATGCGAAGGTGTAAAGCCGGTTAGGGAGCAGAAAGGCCGATAGACAAAGTCGATCGAACACTAGTAGAAAAGAAAAAGTGTATTAATTATGTGTATCGTTGGCCTCACGGGGGATGGGTGAACGCCCCCGGAGACCTGCGCAGTCGCCCGCGCGTGTCCAAAAATGAATGTGAAAAAGTCCGCCAAAAGGCGAAAACCAGTCTTCACACTGATTAGAACAGAGAAGTGTATGTATTACCATCCGGTTAGTCTATTTCTAAAGGGTATAGAAATACCCGATAGAAACTATGTGGTGTGTAAGTTGGGTACAGGTTGAACCACATAGAGCTAGACTATAACGCACCGGTTGGGTTTGAAGGGCGGTGTCCTACCTGGATAGTGCCCTGTCGGTCAAAAGACCAGCTTGTCACCGTGCACTTGACGGCTGGGAGGTCTGCGGGGCCCCCCCGGACCCACGCGTCCTCCGTGTCGCCGCTCCACTTTGTTGACGATCCCTGTGTTGGCTGCAGTGCCAGTTCCAGATCCGAAAGCTTGAGCGGACACAGTGGCTGGAAAGTTGTATATCCAGCTGTCGGGCATCGCGCTTGAGTAGATGGAGCCTCTCGGTAAATGTCTTGAAGTTACTGGAAACCACCGAGCCGAGCGACCCATAGACAATCGCAGTAGAAACCACACTCCATCCCTTCAATCGAAGCTCATCAACAATAGGCTGGTACTTGAGCACCTTGAAGTCATGACTGCTCTGGAGGGATGAGCGCCGAGATCCAGCCGGTTGGTCTTCAAACGAGATCGCCAGGTCTGAGATCACCATTGTCTTGGATGCGGGGTCTCGAAGTACAATATCCGGGCGAAGTGCTGCACCAGAAAATTCGGGAACCGTCAAGTTGAGGCGCAATTCCGCTGGAGACTTGATGCGTAGAAGAGCAGCTCGAATCTTGGTTCCAATGAGTTCCAGGCCCTCATCATGGCGTCGTCGAACGGCATCCATGTTCGTCGAGCAGTGGTTCAGAACATGGGCCAAAGTCTCAGCACTGGAACAGGAAGGCACACGGCAGTGGTGGTTTGCCCGAAGGCGTCTTCTCTTGAGAACCGAATTAGTATCGACTTGGTTGAGGCGGGCCAGAATGCCAAATCGATGTTCCGCATCCGATAGACCCGCCCCAGTCATCACAAACTTCGATCCAACTCCACCGTGGACACGGACCGTCTTTCCCTGATCCACCATATTCTTCCATCGAGTCTGATGGCGGATCTTCATGTGCAACTTCACGTGCCGCAACACTGTTTTGTGACTGAGCCATTTATCCATGTGCGGCACTCGAAGGGCAAGGGGGTCTTGAGTGCCATCTTCTGAACGAAAGGAAAGAGTGATGTTATTAATCGTTAATATCCGCTGTACATCAGTCCAGAGCGAGGCAATGTCCCCCGATCGGCGATTGGCGGTAGCAAACGGCGAGGCAGCAAGTTCGGAATTCAAAAAGAGTCGAACAAGTTCATCCTCTCGCCCCTGCCAGTGGTCTTCGTGTAGTCGATAACGTTTGCGTGCAATCTGACCCACTTGCGTCTTCGCCACCGCCACAATAGCCGGGTCCTTCGAGTGAAGCATTTGCCAGGCATGAGCAACCTGCAACGCGTGGTGCATTTCCACCAGCGACTGCAACCCCAGTCCGCCTCCCGAAGTTGGCGAGTAGAAAAAGTCAGCTGTGGCGGACTGGGGAAGGTGCAACAAGTGTCGAAGGCCACGCTTCACGGCGCAATCGAATCCGTGGAGTTGTGACTGTAGGGGGCGAAGGTGGCGAAGAGCATATTCCACTTTCGGGTAGACATAAGTCTTGAGCGCCTTCACCACCTGCCAAGCTGCCAACCCGGACGTCATCAAAGCAATCGCCTCCCGCTTAAGTTGTTGCAACTTGGGTTCAAGCTGGAGGCGATGCTGGATGTGGTCAAACCCATCACCCACTCCGAGGTAGCGATAACTCTCCTGGAGTGTGAGCGGGGTGATGGTTTCACCATGAAGGTCCAGCCGGACACTCTCATCAGGGACCGGGTTGCTTCGAGAATTAAGGGTCACAGCAAGGCTGGCGCACTTGGCCGGATTAGCCCTTAAACCAGTCCATTGGAGAAAACTCTTCATAACACCATGGCAACGTTGGATGCCGGCGGCGCTATTGCTGAAGATTTTTATATCATCAGCGTAAGCGGTGGTGCAAGGTCTAACACCATCCGCAAGCGGCACACCGACATCCTCCAGTTGCTCCAGGCGACGGACGAGTGGAATTAGAGCAGCAATAAACAGTAGGGGGCTTAAGGGACAGCCTTGGTAAACCCCCATTTCTTGTCGCACAGGGTCAGTCGCACCATCCTTCGCATTCGTAACCACAAAAGATGACTCATGATAGATATCCTGGCAACGGTTAATGAACCGGGGCTCAACACCAATTCGGCGGAGCACCTGCCACATGAGCGCTTGAGGAAGAGAACCAAAAGCATTGCGTAAGTCATACCAAACTTGGTATAACTTACGGTGCGACCGCCGGGTTTGATCCAACATCGTGGTTGCCAGAAAATTGTGTTCATGGCAGCCGTTGAAAGCCCGGAACCCCTTCTGTGCCATCGGTAGCCTGTTGTTGAGTTCAAGCCAGCGCGACAACCGCTTCGCAAGCAGCCCGCTATACAACTTGTAGATGGTAGGCTGCAAGCAAATAGGTCTCCAGTTAGTCGGCTGCATGGGGTCACCTTTTTTGTGGATGAGGCGGACCATGCCCACTTTCCAGAGGGCAGGTACCATCCGATGCAGCCAACAGAACTGGAAGGCAGCGTGTAGAAGGGGTACCAATTGCGGGGCAAACCGACTGAAAACATCATATCCGACCCCATCATGGCCAGGGCTGGACGTCTTGGTTGCCCGCAACAGTTGATCTTCCACTTCATCCAGCGTTATATCCACATCAAAGCAATCTCCACCCACAGTATCCCTTGAAAAACTCGTCAGAGTAGCTCGAAACTCCTGTCCACATTCCGCATCAAAGTTGAAGCGGGTAGGAGGTGTGTTAACGCCAACGAAGTGCTGGTGGAGATCCTGTCGAGAGATCGGACAGGTATCAGGGTGTTCGATACCCGCCGTCTCCACCGAGGCACCGTCGAGAATGTTGGCAACACATCGAGCTTCGTCTTTACCAAATGCTCGACGAAGGTCTAGCTGCTGCATAGAGGCACGCACCCTTCCAACCCGTCTTCGAGCTCGACGGACCGCACGTTGATCGGCAGGAGTTGTGGACTGAACTGCCTGCATGTCATCGAGGGCCTCATCCAATCGGTGCTCACGTTGAGTACGGGTGACACGAGGAGGTCGACGCTCACGACGAGACGGCGCCGAGCCTCCAGGGTGCGCAGCAGCAGCTGTCGAGCAAAAAGGTAACAGAATATCACGAATTGTATTAGGGATAGCACTAATGTACCCTTCGCCAGTGATCCAGCTGTCAGCATCTGTAATCCGACTCGCCATGCTATCAGCGAAAGATTGAAGAGCCGTAGCAGCAGCTTCATGTTCATCATCAGTTAAGTGACGCAGCTTGAGACGGGGTTGACGAGCTGGAGCGGAGCCGGGGCCGATAGGCAGGGTGGGAAAAGACTCACCACCATCACGTGCAGCGATATCAGCTTCGACATCGGCCTCAGAGTCACTGATAGGGGCAGCACCAGCAGAGGTAGTAGGTGCACTGTGGGCAACCATGGCGGGGTTGGTGTCAACCGACGAGCGGGGCTCAAAGCAGCACGACATGTCATATGAATGTGGGCCACAAACAACAGAAGTCTTGCGCTGATCCAGGGCACGGTTAGCAAGCCGGTCAGCGTGGGCATTAGCTTGACGGTCAATGTGACGTAGTTTATACCACTGTAGGTCTGCTAACGCCAGCCGCACGAGACTGCGTAGGCTGCGGAGCCTTCGATTCGAGCAGTTGAAAGAGCCTCGCACTTGTGCCATCACCAAGGTGCTATCGCCTTCCACCATCAGTCTCGTAGCACCATGGAGGACAGCACTCTTCACTCCCATCAACAGAGCCGCGTATTCGGCAGAGTTGTTGGTCTCCCTGGGTGAAGGAAGGAAGTGAGAGCCTGTCCAAACCACAGTGCCAGCTGAATCCGACAGCACTGCACCCGCTCCACCAGCACCAGGGTTCCTCCGGCAAGCCCCATCAAACTGAAGGAGCCAGGACTTGGTGTCACCGGAAACCTGCACGTCCTCCACAACCGGGGATGATGGGACGTCACGTGGTCGCGGTGGAGTAGGTGGTGGTGCTGGCGGAGGTATAGCGCTGTCAGCGACGGTGGTATCAGGACTTGAGGATGGCCGTCTGTTTCGAGTCCTTCGCCCAGTAGTGGGAAGCGTCACTACCACCCGAGGGCCCCAACGAGTCATGGTTCGTCGAGGCGCTGCCGTTGGAGTGGCCCGGGTGGTAGGAGCAGGACAAGCTGTGGCACCAGTGGCAGGGCAACCTGCCTCAGAGGCCCCGATCGTGCCGTGACGTGGCCCCCACCGCGTGGCACGAGTGCGCACAGCGGCTGATGCCAGAGGTCGTTGCACTGCCGGGGTCGAGGTCGGCGCATCATCTGTCACCGGGCAACCAGAAACGGCAACATCCACGGTGGGTGAAGCAACATCCGTATCCAAAGACGAGCGAAAAGAATCCAAACGAGAAGTAATCCCAGTGTCCAGCGTCATCAAATTAGCTTGAACCGTCCTCTCCACCTGTTGGTCGTGTGTCTCCATGTCCCAATCCGGGTCGCCAGGTATGGGATCATCGTCGTTAAGCCTTCGACGTTTGCCAGCGACCCGGATATGAGCCTGTGAGGCAGAAATGTACCGCACGGGGGGGACGTGCGGGTGCACCGGAAGTCTTGACGTGGTGTGCACGGTGCTCTGAAAAGTGGTGATGTCTGCGGTAGCAGTGTGGCTTGATGCGACGCCTGCTGCCGCAGACATCACGGCACTGAGGGGTCCGGTAGGGGATGGGTCCCCCTCTGCGTGCGAGACAGACCACACGGAACGAGAGAGAGCGGTCGACGACCCGGTCGGGACACGTGCAACAGGAGGTGCGTAAGACAGGCTGTCATTACAGCCCAGAGCATGTTTGGTCGCTGCTGCACGTGTCCTGTGACCGATGCCACACGTGCACCCGCTGTGGAAATGATCCACGAAGCAGGTGCCACGGTGGGCGGTTCGTCGGTGACTGGCCAGCGCAGTCATATCGCATGCAGTGTACGCACACAACGTGCATCGAAATGCGGGAGCGTTGTGGGCGTACACTGACACCACAGGGTCCTGCTGCCCGGTTACAGGCGGGGTTGGGTGCAAGGCAGGACCCTGGGCGCTCAAGGCGACGCGCTGGCTATCGTCAGGTGCCATGCCCACGTCAACGGCAATGGGCATGGCATCATCGACACCAGAAAAACGTTCATCGTACCCGACTCGGTCTGGCAGCATGTTCGCCTGCCAGCCGAGTCGGTCGTCACAGGTACGTGGGACAGAAACAGTTGCTGCAGTGGACACGGTCACGAGAGGTGCCGCGGCCACTGCAGTGTATCCAGCTCGAGCAGGCAGCTCCGTAGCTGCATGCCCGAGCTGGTCGTCATCACTGCAGGGCATGTATGCGTCTTCGTCGTCCAACGAAGAGGAGTAGTCTGCTGCCGAGTCCTCCCCGTCGCTGCTGCTGTCGTCCTCGGGGTCGCTGGAGCCATGCACGGCATCCAGTGCGCGAGCCGTAGCGGCTGCAAGCGCTGACCCGTTGGGCAGCATGCCTCCCGCCCTGCCGGGTCGAAAATCAACAATCGGGGGTCTTGGGGGCAAGGCGGGGGCCGGGGAGGCAGGCGGAGGGGCGCAGGAAGCCGTCGCACATGTCCTTGGACCCGGGCATGACGTCTGTGTGCCCGGGGAGCCGTTGCTCTGAGTGTCGTGCACGTCCACCCGGTCGGGCAGCATGCCTGCCGCCCTGCCGGGTGGGAAACCATCAATCCAGCGGTCTTGCAGCTCGTCCTGCGTCGTAGGAGCTTGCGGAGAGTCGTCCCGGTCCCCTGTGCGTGTTCTTGAACCCGGGCTAGACGCCTGCAAGCCCGGGGAGCCGGTGCTCGCTTGTCCTTGCACGTCCTGCCCCGCTACCCCATCGGGCAGCATGCCGCCCGCCCTGCCGGGTCGAAAAGCAAACATCAGGGGGTCTTGGGCGGCGGCGGCGGGCGCAGGGGCAGGCGGGGACGCGTGGAAGGCCAACCGGCGCGTGGGGGACGCGGGGGACGGGCTCGGAGCCCGGTGTGGGCCGGCGGTGGGCGTGGCGGCGGCGGGCGCGGCGCGCGAGTCGTGGCCGTGGCGGTGTTCTCGACTGACGGCCGCGCCTATACTTAAACCAAGTCTAGGCGCGAGGGTATCGTCAGCGGCCACTGTGGGCGCGTAGTGGGGGTCGCCAACCCCTATACTGAGGCCCAGTATAGGGTCCCCGACACTGTTTGTGTGTGCGGGGTCCGTGACCCGCACTAGTGACCCTAGTGACGGGGACGGATGTCGGCTGACCCCTTCCCGATCCCCGAAACGACGCAACGTTGAAGCGGAGGACCGGGATTGATCTTGGCCGCTGTGGGCCTCGGCGCGCGATGGCGCTTGGCGTGCAATAGGCGTGGCGTGTTGCGAGCACGTGCCTGAAATTGCAGCGTCGGCGGGTGCGTCGTTGCGAAGTTGTTGCAACGCGCGTGGCGCCACTCGGGCGCCCTCCGCCGACGAAAACGGGGGCAAAAGGGGTGTGAAAATCACACTTTGCCTTTCTGACCAATCAGTGCCGAGCACTTGGTCAGACCCGGATTCGACAGTCGAGGGGTCGTGGACAGCCGTTTCGGCGCCCATCCCTGAGGAAACTGCTGTTTCCGGGTCGCCCGCCAGCCCCGTCTCAGCGTCAGACGACGCGTCATAGAAGGACGCGTCGCTGGCGAGACTAGAATGGCTGGCCGTGGAGCACTCGCTATCGTCGGATAGAGAGCGCTCCCGGGGCTCCCAATCCGGCCACCAGAAGCGCATGCAGATGCGAAGGTGTAAAGCCGGTTAGGGAGCAGAAAGGCCGATAGACAAAGTCGATCGAACACTAGTAGAAAAGAAAAAGTGTATTAATTATGTGTATCGTTGGCCTCACGGGGGATGGGTGAACGCCCCCGGAGACCTGCGCAGTCGCCCGCGCGTGTCCAAAAATGAATGTGAAAAAGTCCGCCAAAAGGCGAAAACCAGTCTTCACACTGATTAGAACAGAGAAGTGTATGTATTACCATCCGGTTAGTCTATTTCTAAAGGGTATAGAAATACCCAATAGAAACTATGTGGTGTGTAAGTTGGGTACAGGTTGCACCACACAGAGCTAAACTATAACGTACCGGTTGGGTTTGAAGGGCGGTGTCCCTACCTGGGTATGGCCCTGTCGGCCACGATGGGCCCGAAACCCGCTTAGCGGCGGCCTTGATGTGATGGAGTCCCCCCGGTCTCCATCGCTCGGCTGTCCCTTGCATCTTGCCTTGGTC